GAATAGAATAGAATAGAATAGAATAGAATAGAATAGAATAGAATAGGTGAAATCCAAATTTTTTTACTACCGGTTCTGTGGGCATGGCTTGGTGGGCATGGGCGTGGCTTGGTGGGCGTGGCAGGGGAGGGATATTGCAAAATCTCCATTCCTTCCCCACTCCTGGGGGGAAGGATACTGCAAAATCCTCATTCCCTCCCCACTCCAGGGAAAGGATACTGCAAAATCCCCATTCCCTCCCCATTCCTCGGGGAAAGATATTGCAAAATCTCCATTCCCTCCCCACTCCTGGGAGAAAGATATTGCAAAATCTCCATTCCCTCCCCACTCCTGGGGGAAAGTATTGCAAAATCTCCATTCCTTCCCCACTCCTGGGGGAAAGATATTGCAAAATCTCCATTCCCTCCCCACTCCTGGGAGAAAGATATTGCAAAATCTCCATTCCCTCCCACTCCTGGGAGAAAGATATTGCAAAATCCCCATTCCCTCCCCATTCCTCGGGGAAAGATATTGCAAAATCTCCATTCCCTCCCCACTCCTGGGAGAAAGATATTGCAAAATCTCCATTCCCTCCCCACTCCTCTGGGAAAGATATTGCAAAATCTCCATTCCTTCCCCACTCCTGGGGAAAGATTTTGCAAAATCTCCATTCCCTCCCCACTCCTGGGAGAAAGATATTGCAAAATCTCCATTCCCTGCCCACTCCTGGGGGAAAGATATTGCAAAATCTCTCCATTCCCTCCCCACTCCTGGGGGAAGGATACTGCAAAATCCCCATTCCCTCCCCACTCCTGGGGGAAGGATACTGCAAAATCCCCATTCCCTCCCCACTCTGGGGCCAGCCAGAGTCGGTATTTGCCGGTTCTCCGAACTACTCAAAATTTCCACTACCGGTTCTCCAGAACCTGTCAGAACCTTCTGGATTTCACCCCTGGGGTGGTGGTCTTGTCTTGTGGGAAGGGAGCCAGTGGCTTTCCTTTGATCTCCCCCAGACCCAGAAAATTGGTTTCGCCTTCCTCCCAAGAGCAGAGAAAGTCCATCACCTGTCCGTCTTCTCCTTTCCCAGCCTTCTGATTGTTCCTCTCTTTGCAACAGGGGCGGCTTTTGGGAGGCTGATGGGTGAGAGCATGGCAGCTTGGTTCCCCGATGGCATTCACACGGACAGCAATATCTACCGCATTGTGCCAGGGGGTTACGCAGTGGTAGGTAAGAGGCAATTTTTCTTCTATTTCCCCCCAAAAATTCAGGAGGATTGATTCCGTCGGTACAAGCGCAAAGCCACGGGCTTCACCACGTCAGTTAAAGAATTAGCAGCTGCATTGACACAAAAGTTTGGTGGGTCTATTTCCGGGGCTGCAAGAGAAAGAGAAAGAAGGTTAAAATAGTAAGAAAGAGAGAGAGAGGTGTTTCAATGCTGCAGTGTTACAGGGGAGAAGGAGCCTCCGCCCTTCAGTTTCACAAATGAGTGGAGTGAGATTCAAACTCTTGGGGACCTCACCTCAATGGCATCACTAATAAAAGTTTTAACCATTTTTAAGCTGGTTTTAAGGATGGCAGGTTGCAATTATTAATTGTGTTTAACTATTTGGTCACATGCGAGATGGGTGGCCATATAAGTTGGGTAGGTAGGTAGGTAGGTAGGTAGGTAGGTAGGTAGGTAGGTAGGTAGATAGATAGATAGATAGATAGATAGATAGATAGATAGATATAGATAGATAGATAGATAGATAGATAGATAGATAGCAGATAGAGATCCAGCATGGATGGAGAGGAGAGAGAGAGACAGACAGACAGACAGACAGACAGACAGATAGATGATAGATAGATAGATAGATAGATAGATGATAATAGTATTAGATAGATAGATAGATAGAGAGAGAGAGAGATAGATAGATAGAAAGATAGATAGTGATAGATGATGGATTGATAGATAGATAGATAGATATAATAGATGATAGATAGATAGATAGATAGATAGATAGATAGATAGATAGATAGATAGATAGATAGATGTAGATATAGATAGATAGATGAGATAGATAGATAGATAGATAGATAGAAGATAGATAGATAGAGAGAGAAGATATAGATAGATAGATGAGAGAGAGAAGATAGATAGATAGATAGAGATAGATAGATAGATAGATAGATAGATAGATAGATAGATAGATAGATAGATAGATAGATAGATATAGATAGATGGTAGACAGACAGACAGATAGATAGATGGATGATAGTAGGTAGATAGATAAGTAGATGATAGATAGACAGACAGATAGATAGAACCACAGAAGAGCCGTGGTTTCACAGTGGTTAGAATGCAGTATTGCAGGCTGACTCTGCTCACTGCCAGGAGTTCGATCCTGACTGGCTCAGAGTTGACTCAGCCTTCCATCCTTCCGAGGTCGGTAAAATGAGGATTCAGATAGTTGGGGCCAAATACACCGACTCTGTAAACCACTTAGAGGGCTGTAAACAGTGGTGGGATTCAAGTAATTTAACAACCGGTTCTCTGCCCTAATGATTTCTTCCAACAACCAGTTCACCAAACTGCTCAGAAAGTTAACAACTGGCTGATTGGCACGTGCAAATGTGTGGCAGTAACCAGAAGACTTGCTGGCTGGCACACATGCGTGTGCTGGAAACCAGAAGTCCTTTATCCGGCGCGTGCATGCCCCCTGGGAAACTCATCTTCCTGGTCGTGGCCCTGACGAGCACGCACGCACAGCGCTCCTTTTTCGGCACTTGGTGCGCAGATGTCAGTGATGATGTCAGGGTGGGTGAGCGGAGCTTCCCACCGCCATTACTACCGGTTCGCAAGAACCGGACCGAACCGGGAGCAACCCACCACTGCTCCTAATGCAGAAAACGATCCTGCTCTTCACTGACACGGCTCCCTCCTTTCCTCCCCAGGTGCAGCTGCCCTCTCTGGGGCCGTCACCCACACGGTCTCCACCGCCGTCATCGTCTTCGAGCTGACCGGCCAGATCTCGCACATCCTGCCGGTTATGATTGCGGTGATCCTGGCTAATGCTGTGGCCCAGAGTTTGCAGCCTTCCCTCTACGACAGCATCATCCGGATCAAGAAACTGCCCTACCTGCCGGAGCTGGGTTGGGGACATCAGGAGTAAGTGTCCGTGGATGTGGGAGAGATCCGTACTCAGGGCTGGGATGCTGTGGGGAGCCAGATGCAGACCACACTGAATAATGTGGCCATGGGGGCGCAGAATTGCAGGCTAATTCTGCCGATTGCCGGCAGTTCGATCCTGACCGGCTCAAGGTTGAATCAGCCTTCCTTCCTTCCTTCCTTCCTTCCCTCCCTCCTCCTTCTTTCCTTCCTTCCTTCCTCCCTTCCTCCTTCCTTCCTCCCTCCCTCCTTCCTCCTTCCTTCCTCCCTTCCTCCTTCCTTCCTCCCTCCCTCCCTCCCTCCTCCTTCCTTCCTTCCTTCTCTCCCTCCCTCTCCCCTTCCTTCCTTCTTCTTTCCTTCCTTCCTTCCTTCCTTCCTTCCTTCCTTCCTTCCTTCCTTCCTCCCTTCCTCTCCTCCCTCCTCCTTCCTTCCTTCCTTTCTTCTCTCCCTCCCTCCCTCCCTCCTCCTTCCTTCCTTCCCTCCTCCCCTCCCTCTTTCCTTCCTTTCTTCCTCCCTCCCTTCCTCCTTCCTTCCTCCCTCCCTTCTCTCCTTCCTTCCTTCCTTCCTTCCTTCCTTCCTTCCTTCCTTCCTTCCGAGGTGGGTAAAACGAGGACCCAGCTTCTTGGGGGCAATATGCTGACTCTGTAAACTGCTTAGAGAGGGCTGTAAAACACTGCGAAGCAGCATATAAATCTTAAGTGCTATTGCTACTGCTAATGCACATACTATCCAAAGCTGATGGAAGCTGTTCTGACCTAGGCTTCCCAAGAGCATGAAGCAGACTCCTCGTCCCGATAAAACCTCTTTTATTTAGATTAAAGGGAATTCCTCTCCAGCAAAGTCCCGGCCAACAGTTTTTCATGAGATTTCACAACTACAGATCTTTATCAGGCTTGGAGAGTTGCCAGGCCGATATCTTCCAAATGCTGCACGCTGTAGCAGCAATTACTTGGCAAGAAGTCAGGAACAGATCTTCACCCTAATGAATTGAACTAATTGTCTCCTGCAAACTCCCCTCTCCTTCGCTCCTCTTTATTCCCGCTGGGAGGGTCCATTCACCGTCCACCTGTGGCTTTACTCCTGAGTTGGCCCTTGTTCCTTAGCTGCTCCCTTTTCCTGGCAGCTCTGCACCTGCGCACACTGGGAACAGGATCCAGCCGTTCTTCTGTCTCACTGATATCTGACTCCGAAGGCAGCTGATAACTGTCGGACGGCCCTGGCTCCATCTCTGCCTCCAATGTAGAGCCCTCATCAGAGCCTTCCCCAGACTTCAGGACTGGCCCATGGTCCTCCCCAACCTCCTCACTGTCTGAGTCTGCTGCCAGCTCTGCTGGCCACTGGCGAGCCACAACAAGCTATATGGTACAAAACAGAGTCAGAACAAAAGAATTTGAAGGGACCTTGGAGGTCTTCTAGTCCAGGGGTCTCCAGTCCCAGTCCATGGATGGGTACCGATCTATGGCATGCCAGCAACCAGGTCACGCAGACAAGCAAAGCCCCATCTGTGGGATGCAGGTCTAGTCTAACCCTCTGGTTTTTCTGCCCCAGCTACGGACCCCAAAGAACGCAGCACACACAAACTCTATACAAAGCTTATTTTACTCAAATAACTTAGTCTTTATCAATCAAAAGCTGTTAATAAACTGTCTTAGCAGCCTACCAGAATTCTAAGATAAGGTAATCACAGTCTTACTAGAGTTGGCAGAAAGCCCAGAAGCAATTTTGCAGAGAATCCAGACGCGAAGGAGATTGAACTAAAGTTGTTCCCTACAGCTTGCTGCAAGCGGCGTTCCTCCTTAAATAGGCTAAGGGAGTGGCCAATTAGCCCCAAGCCTTACTCTCGAGGAGACCTCCTCCTGAGGAGCCACTCCTGCCTTTTGGCAGCTCTGCACGCCCGTGCATTGAGAAGAGGCTCCTCCTCTTCGTCCTCTTCACTTAAGGGAGCTTCTGGAGGTTCTGAAGGCCCTGGCTGAATCCCTTCCTCTGGCACCACATCTTCTCCAGCCTCCTCACTGTCCGACTCAAGTGCCAGCTGCACAGGCTGCTGGCGCAGCACCACACCAGCCTCCTCGTTGTCGGAATCAGCAACAATCTGCACAGGCCGCTGACGGGCCACAACATCTGGTCCGCAGAAAAACCTTTCTCCATGGAACTAGTCCCTGATGCCCAAAAGGTTGGGGGATGCTGTTCTAGTTTAACCCCCTACTCAAGTAGGAAACCTTACACCAGCAGTCTCCAACCCAGCGTACTGGTGGGGATGGCAGCAGGAGGGTAGGGAGAGGGGATGATTTTCTTGATTTATTTGGCACTCGTCTGCCTTGGGACTCACTTTATTATTCCTTATGGGAAAAAATGTATTTGTTACTCATCGTTTTTGGTACTCATCGCGCCTCCCGGAACCAATTAAGGATGAGTACCGAGGTACCACTGTAATTTTAATCAGAAGAAATGAATGCCTGAAGCAACCTATTTCACCCTTTGAAACCTGCCCCTTTCGAGTGTTTGAAAATTTTGGCTACACTTATCACAACACGCTATAAACATCTGTGAAGGGGTGGTATGGGTTGAATTTTCCACCTCTGTTTTAATAGAGCAATGCCATGCTTGTAATGTCGTACTCTTCGGCAATATTAGACGAAGATGTAGCAAATGCATTCACATAACACGCCGGCCTTGGTTAGCATTAATCTACCGTATTCTTCGCTGGTGGCGAAGAGCCGGAGGGCCTTGTTCCAGTGGGACAGCATCATGGCCTGGAGCTGGCTGACATTGAGTTGGCCATGCCCACCCAGTCACATGACCACTTAGCCACACCCACCTAGCTGGTCATTAGGCAGATCATATTAGTGGTCCGCGGGATTTAAAATTACGAATTTAGTAGTCCCTGAGGTCCGAAAGGTTGGGGACCCCTGGTTTAATGCATGGGTAATATCCAGAGAGTAGGTTAAATCAATGTTAATTGTGTAAATCCAGCCTGCTTGTTTGCATTTTCAGGAAGTACAACGTACGCGTGGAGGACATCATGGTGCGTGACGTGCGTTATATCACACTGAACTGTAGGTACCGCGATCTTCAGGATGTCTTACACAGCACCAAGATGAAGAGCCTAGCTCTGGTGGAATCAGCCGGTAAGAGAAAAGGATGGGCAGGCAGGTGGGGAAGTTCAGGAGTTGTAGAACTTGCCTTTTGCAAGCAAGAACTAAATACCCCCACTCTACTTTTTACAACCAGGAATGGAATGGAATGGAATGGAATGGAATGGAATGGAATGGAATAGAATAGAATAGAATAGAATAGAATAGAATAGAATAGAATAGAATGAAATAGAATAGAATAGAATAGAATAGAATAGAATAGAATAGAATAGAATTCTTTATTGGCCAAGTGTGATTGGGCACGCAAGGATTTTGTCTTTGGTGCATATGCTCTCAGTGTACATAAAAAGATAAGATACATTCCTCAAGAATCATAAGGTACAACACTTAATGTTAGTCATAGGGAACAAATAAGCAATCAAATCATACTAGGAAACAATATAAATCTTAAGGATACAAGCAACAAGGTTACAATCATACAGTCCTAAGTGGGAGGAGATGGGTGATAGGAACGATGAGAAGATTAATAGTAATAGTAATGCAGACTTAGTAACTAATTTGACAGTGTTGAGGGAATTATTTGTTTAACAGATTTATGGCGTTCGGGAAAAAACTGTCCTTGTGTCCAGTTGTTCTGGTGTGCAGTGCTCTATAGTGTCGCTTTGAGGGTAGGAGTTGAAACAGTTTATGTCCAGGATGTGAGGGGTCTGTAGATATTTTCACAGCCCTCTTTTTGACTCGTGCAGTACACAGGCTCTCAATGGAAGGCAGGTTGGCAGCCATTGTTTTTTCTGTAGTTCTAATTATCCTCTGAAGTCTCTGTCTGTCTTGTTGGGTTGCAGAACTAATAGCAATAGCACTTAGACTTATATACCACTCCATAGTGCTTTACAGCAGTGGCCCCCAATTTTTCAGGCACCAGGGATCGGTTCCATGGAGAGAGGTTTTGTTCCAACCCAGCTCCCCAAACACGACAAACCCTCTGTAGTTAAATCAATGATTCCTTTATTAAGAGTGCCAAGAGCCCCAGCAAAATGTCTCTCTCACAACAGGCTAACAAGTCTGCCCGGCAGGGAGAGGAATAGTTGTCTGCCACATCTATTCATCTCCACCCCCTGCCTTTTATCCCCAGAGCTAGGATAGGGCTTTGCTAGCAGTAGTGGTTCTTCCATCCCAAGGACCGGCCCACAGATTTCCACTCCTCTCCTCTGCCTTCTGTGCATCTGCACGTCAGGCACTGGACCCAGCTGTTCCTCCTCCTCCTCATCAGTCACCTCCGAACCTGAGGACTGCTGATTCTCTCCATCTGAGGGCTGACGGACGGCCCAGGCTCCGCCTCTGTCTCTCTCTCTCTGACAGCTCGATTCGCTCTTCCCCCTCAGAGCTCTCAGGTTGCCTTGATGGCGACCCTGACTCCCACGCCGCCTCCTCATCTGATTCGGTGTGCATGCGAAGCTCCGTTTGCGCAAGCGGCGGACACACATGCAAAACCATCTCTTCTCCCCCACCCCTCTGTTGTGACCTAGGCCCAAGTAGTTATTACCAGACACAATCAGTCCTAAACAAACATATTTTATTAAAACAGCTGAGAATTACTTCATTCTCAGCGTAGTCCAATTTAAGTCCAAAACAAATTCTTCATAAACAGTCCTTCGGCCTTATCACCAACCTTTGTCTTCTTGGGCACCCTGCCAAAGGCTTTTCTTGGCAAAAGTTCAGAAGCAGGAGAAGCTGACAAGAAACAAATGTAGCAACGTTGCTTTCCTACAAAGATCCCAAGAGCCATTGCTGCTCTTTTAAGCCTTCTGGGAGGGGCCAATCATTTCCTGGCCTTACTCCCGAGCTGTCCTTTTTGCTTTAGCTGCTCTTGCCTTCTGGCAGCTCTTCGCATGCATGCATTAGGAACAGGCTCCTCCTCTTCCTCTGCCTCTCTGCTGTCTGCCTCTGGAGGCTCCGGAGTCCGCGCATCGCTCCCAGATGGCCCTGGCCCCATCTTTGCCTCTGATGCAGAGCCCTCATCCGGTCCTTCTCTTGACTCCAGGACTGGCCCATTGTCCTCCCCAGCCTCCTCACTGTCCAACTCCGCTGCCAGCTCCGCCGGCTGCTGGAGGACCACAATACCTTCTACCGCCACCACTGCCGGTCCATAGAGCCAGAAAGTTTGGGGACCACTGTCCTACAAGGAAAAGCTTATGAAGGAGAATTGGAGATGCTGGCTGGGGAATTTTGGGAGTTGACCCACACATCTTACTAAGGTTGAGAAACATTGGATTAGCACATCAGTTGTTTTTTTTTTTTATGGCTTCCGATGTTGCGTCTCCCAAATGGGCAGGTGCTTAAACGAAAGCATCGGCGCCTAAACATCAATGCGCGTGTACAGCCGCGTGCATTTCCCATGGTGACAAATATAGATTCCCCCCAGTTTGTCCCAATGCCTCTTCCAAAGGAGCTGATGCAATTGCTATTTTCCTAATGCTTTATCGATTGGTGAGTCAACCGAGCAGCTACTGACATCACCGAGCCCAAATTATAACAACATCAAAAGGCTGCACGTTGTCGCTGAATTGGCTGCAAAATTAGAGAGGAGAAACGATCCATTCAAATCATAATTGCCGACGTGATATTTTTGAAATTCCTTTTTAGATCAAGCTTGATTTGTGTGTGGGGGGGGGTTTAAAAAATATTATATAGCCAGAAAGACATCGTGGCAACAAAGGTAGTTGCATTTGACTTCCCCTCTCGAGTATTATTTCTTGAGCATCCTTAAGGATCCTTAAGGATGTTGAATACTCTCAACTGGGGAGACTTCATCAGTTGGGTTCACACAACAAATTGAACCAAGTCAGCTAAAGGCCTTCTGCCTGCATCTGCACAACATGCTGAATTTGAATAAACGTCTATGGAGATTCTCAATCAAGGTGCTTTTTTTAAAAAGAAGGGCAACTGAGCTGTTTTTTCCTTCGGGAAGAGATGAAAATGTTTCACTTCCCACCCAAAAAGCTTCATCTTGGATGAGAAGCAAAACTCCTTCTCCTTCTCCTCCTTCTTTTCCTTCTCCTTCTTCTCCTTCTCTTCCTTCTCCTTCTCCTCCTTCTTTTCCTTCCCTTCCTCCTCCTCCTTCTTCTCCTCCTTTCCTTTCCTTCTCCTCCTTCTTTCCTTCCCTTCCTCTTTCTTCTCCTCCTCCTCCTTTCTTTCCCTTCTCCTTCTCCTCCTCCTCCTCCTCTTCCTCCTTCTTCTCTTCTCTTCCTTCTCCTCTCCTCCTTCTTTTCCTTCCCTTCTCTTCTCCTTCTTCTCCTCCTCCTTCTTTTCCTTCTCCTTCCTCCTCTCCTCCTCTTCTCCTTCTTTTCTTCCTCCTCCTCCTCCTCCTCCTCCTCTTCTCCTTATTCTCCTTCTTTTCTTCTCCTCCTTCTTCTCCTTCTCTTCCTTCTCTTTCCTCTCCTCCTTCTTTTCCTTCCCTTCTCTCCTCCTTCTTCTCCTCCTCTTCTCCTTTTCCTTCTCCTCTTTCTCCTCTCTCCTCCTCCTTCTTCTCCTTTTTTTCCTTCTCCTTCTCCTCCTCTCCTCCTCTTCTCCTTATTCTCTTCTTTTCCTTCTCCTCCTCCTCCTCTTTCTCCTTCTTCTCCTTTTCCTCCTTCTCCCTTCTTTTCCTTCTCCTTCTCCTCCTCCTTTTTCTTCTCCTTCCCTTCCTCCTCCTCCTTCTCCTCTTCCTCCTTCTCCTCCTCCTTCTCTTCCTCCCTCTTCTCTTCCTTCTTCTTCTCCTCTTCCTCCTCCTCCTCCATACAAAACACTCCAGTTGCCTTTTTTCTAAAATCACCTCTGAGACCAAATTTAAATAGTGTTAATCTTGGTTTGTGTTTAATAGGCTGAACCCAGCCTATTAACCACAAATTAATTTATGGTTCTGGGTATCGTTTAATCTCAGAAATTGGTTATTTAAAGAATTAGGCTAAACATGTTGCGTGCCTGTTCTGCTTCTCTTACAAAATATATGTTATGATTGTTAATCATCCTTTGGGACAGAATCTCAACATTTTCAGCAAAATCTTTTCCAGTTTTAAGCATCATTGACCAATTGTCATTCTTTCCTTCTTTCCCTCCTCCCTTCCTTCCATTCTCCCTCAGCCCAACCCCTCACAGAGTTGCCACTGTGGTGAAAATAGGAGAAAGAAGGAGTATTAGATATGTTGACCACCCTGATTTATTTATTAAAAAAAAAAAATAACAGTCAATTCAGTGATGCAGTGGATGTGATGTGCCGGTGCCTGGAGGCCGTGAGGGTCTGGATGGGAGTCAACAGGCTCAGACTTAACCCAGACAAGACCGAGTGGCTGTGGGTATTGCCTCCTAAAGACTATGTTGATTGTCCATCCTTGGTTCTGGGGGGGGGGGATAAATTGTCCCCCTCAGAACGGGCTCGCAATTTGGGTGTCCTCCTAGACTCACAGCTAAGATTAGAGCAACATCTGTCAGCTGTGGCTAGGGGGACCTTTGCACAGGTTCACCTGGTGCACCAATTGCGACCCTACTTGGATCGGGAGGCTCTCCTCACAGTCACTCATGCCCTTGTCACCTCACGGTTAGATTATTGCAACGCGCTCTACATGGGACTACCCTTGAAAAGTGTTCGGAGACTACAGTTGGTCCAGAACACAGCCGCGAGAGCTATTGTGGGTGCATCTAGATACACCCACATCACACCAATTCTCCGCCAGCTGCACTGGCTCCCTATTGGTCTCCGGGCACAATTCAAGGTATTGGTTATTACCTTTAAAGCCCTACATGGCTCAGGGCCAGACTATCTTCGAGACCGCCTTCTACCGCATAGCTCCCAGTGACCAGTAAGATCCCACAGAGTTGGTCTCCTCCAGGTCCCGTCAGCTAAACAATGCCGGCTGGCGGGCCTGCGGGGGAGGGCCTTCTCTGTGGCTGCCCCAGCTCTCTGGAACCAGTTACCTCCTGAGGTCCGGACCATCCCCACTCTATTGGCCTTCCGAAAAGCGGTGAAGACCTGGCTTTTCCGGCCGGCCTGGGGCCGT